ATATTGGCTGGTATATCGGTATCGGAATTTAAAAAAACTCCCTTAAATCAGTATCGGCACCTTACAATCGGTCAGGCTCTAGAAGACACTGATTTTCATGCATGCTCAGAGTGGATATTTAAAATGCTCGGCTCATGTTTTCCATCCATTTCCTGCCTAAAAATTCCACGTTCGTCACATCTGCGTCCTCTTCTCTTCTCCCACCGAGGAAAACTTGGCTAGCTACATAAAATGGCCTCTAAACCTCTTTTTTGGATGTGTGATGTTGTCACAGTTGAAAGGTTAAGTGCAGGTTAAGTGCATCTCGCCCATGCACGAGAGGAAAATGGATCCATTAGGCAACAAAGTGATCACATGTTGTCGAAAAGTCAATTTGAGGCGCCGCTTAAGACCAGTTCAGGGCAGCTTGGAAACAGTGCAGTTGATGACGAGTTAAATACGCTGCTTTTTTTTTTGTTCATGGTAATATCATACACCAAACTGGTTCTTGCTCACAATATCATAGCTGTCATGAGTTAGAGTACATTTATAAATTTTCCATATACAAATCTCCTATAAACAGTACATTATTATAAATACACAGTCGATGAAAATGCAGAAAGAGCCGTCGAAAGAAAGAAAGAGTCGCTCTTTGTTTCTGATAAATACGAGAGGAAGAAAGAAAGTTTCCGACGAGTGACGACAGCACTAAGTGTTTGAACGGCAGCCCTATAACTATCCAGAAAATGGATAAAAAACACAGAACGAAATCTATGGATGAAAAAAGTTAGAAAAATAATCTTGTACGATAAAAAAATAAAAAGTGGACACGCTTACCAAACACGTTTTTTTTTTTTGATATTGTAAAATTGACAACTTGATGTGGAAACAATACATGTAGATACAAACGGGCAATACTCGATTACCGCCCCTCAAAATATATTCAATTCAATATACATGACGAGTGTTTAGCTCACACCGGTAACCAAGGTAGTTGCCAACCGGCAAATCATGGGAGGTCGGTCGGCACGTGTAAAAAAAGAAAAAAAAAGAGAAGCTCACTTGATCAGTGAAGGGTTACATTAGTAAACATTGAACTGGGTACCTGCCTTATCTGAAAGGACCAGTACGAGAAATGTTTGTCGCCTCGCCAGCTAAGTGGAGTGAAAGAACTACTGTAGATGCAAACTCATGCTTTGGCTTTTCTTGCTTGGCTTTCTCTGTTTGGACAACATTCAAAAATCTTGCGTAAAATGTCATGTCTCTCTGCTCAAACGCATGCTCCGTGTGTTTTACAAAGCGGTGACTTCGGTTGAAGGGAAGCTACATAAAAGGCTAAACCTTTTTTACGACCGTGTTTCTAATTTCCTTGTTTTGGTCTCCACGTTTGCACCTTTTTCTACTTAAGCTGGCAACTACCTTTACAAAGCGTCGTCTTTTTGTCTCTTTTTTGTTTTACAGAAAAATAGATCCATCGAAAAGTAAAGTAACTCTTCACGAGAGGCTGTGAGAGACGTCAACGTTTGTCTTCATCACGATCCAAGTAAACATGCTGAAAGATTGTTTGCTTTATTTCCACCGCTCTCGTCCCCGACAGAACTCGAAGCGTCCTTCTATCTCCCTCCCTCCCTCCCTCCCTCCCTCACATCGAAAAATCTTTTTTACTTTAAGGCAATCTGTTTCTGAACAATCCTGAAATCCAGCGGACCCTCCCTCAAGGCACTCCTCTCCCTCTTCAATTCTCAACGACAGGCTGGCCCAGCACGGTGACAGTCTCACCGTCAAATCTTTGTAGAAGCCTACTCAAACTTCGGCCGACCAAAGTCCACAGTGAACGCATCTTGTAAAATATTATCTCAGTTGCCGCGATGCCCTTAGTTTGTCGGGAAAAATAGTCGAGTAAATGAGAAAAGAAAATCCCCAAGCTGCGTTTAACAGCTGGGGACATCTGCTGTCCCTGGTGTCCACATGTGTGCGCGGTCAGAGGGCAGCGGCATTAAAGCACCGTATGTTCCTGTTATCACACCTTTCTATGGCGAGACCCAATCTCCCCCCCCGCTCCAAACACGCTCGCCCGCTGCCTGGGTCACGTGGTTAGCCGCTGTGGGCTAACGTCGGGGTGTGAAGACTGACAGAAAAAGTGTCTCTCAGCGAGAGCCGCCAAAGCGACGCTGTCATGTTTAATGTTTTCCCCAATTCAGTCCTCCGTCTCCTGTTTGGCTCCCTTCTCTGAGGCTGAGCCCACCCCCTCCCCCTCGTTTTTTTGGCCGAGGGGCCGCCAATCAAGGTGACTGACGTGGTGAGTGGGGTTTAGGGGGACTAAATGAAGGGTTCAGTCGAGACTCTTCGCAGCTCAAAGAGGACGTTCTCCGAAGAGGTCAATGGTAACAGTGTGACACCCTTGTGTTTCCCGCCGTTACAGTGGTTCCTCCTCCTCCATCGGCTCCTCCTCCGGCCTGCCGGGAAAATAAACGCACACACAAACAGATGTTAAACCTCAGGCGGCAAACCACCTGTAAAATATCATCCTCCACTGCTGCTGATGAACCCCTGACCTCAGGGGACTTGGGACTCAAACCTGCCGCAGTCTATTTGCGGTGCCAATGCAGTAACTCCAAAAGGTGTTCTCCTCCTCACCCTTCACACACTTGTGTAAATGTGTAATTTCTTATTTGTGTAACTTACTACTAAAGTATAACAAACAAAATGCTAAGTTAACAGGCTGATCCGCTAAAATGACACAAAAACTAATAATTAATGATTTTAATCTTTGACTCTAATAAGAAAACAAAGATGAAAAATAGGCTTTGACTCTGGATCCTTTACCTCTGATCCATGGTGTTGGTGTTGGCCACGGACAGCGAGGCCATGGCGCTGACGGCCTCAGCCTCCTCCGAGTCTCCTCGCTTGGCTTCCAGCAGGGAGAGCCCCAAGTGTGGCGAGTAGCGATGCACCGAGCGCCAGTACTTACCTGAGGAGGAGGAGGAGGAGGAGGAGACAAATAAACAGAGGAAACGAATGAGCAGGGTGAGGGACTTCTACGATTGAAGGTTTTCCCTGGTGTGTGTTGAATGATTTACAAAAAGCCAAAAAGATAAATAAGAACCATTTTCTCTCACAAACAATTAAATATAAAGAATATAAATATAAAGGGCCATTCTAGGGTAAAGAAAACAACAAGTTGTACAAGTTAGATGATTACACACTTGTTTTGTATCTTACTCACTGGACCTTTAAAAACTCCTCTGTGTGAGTATCAGTGTCATGTTGTTGTGCACAAACTCACTGTGAGTCTCTAAAACTTTCTCCAGAGAGCGCACAGCGTTGGGGTTGGGCCTCTGCTCGAGAACGGCCTTTGGCAGCGGGTCCAGCTGCACGGGACAAAAACACACACGCAAAATGTAAACACGCGTGTACCAGACTGCAGTTCCAATACTTTCCACAAGGGGTCGACCTGGAAATGATGCACCACGGAACATCAGAGCTCTCCACTCTCATGAATGATTTTTGTCATTTTCACCACTACATCAATAAAAATATAATATTTTTTCTGTTCTTTTAAAATGCATTTTCATTTTTATTAAATTTCCACCACAGCAGATTAATATGAGATTAAAATAAATGAAATATCTTTTTTATTAGAATGACTGTGTTCTCAGGTCGGTGTTTGTTTTCTGCCTTGCTGTTACTCAGTAGAACAACGTTAACACTTTGATTTATCATCGTTAATTAGGATTCAGATCGTTGGCAGCGACGACCTCACCTCCTGGCCGAGCAGGGCGGCCACGCAGGCCTCGGAGGCATCGCAGATGGCGGTGAGGTCGTGACCCCCCTCCAGAGCCAGGACCACGCGGCCTCCAGCGAGGGTCATCAGCTGCCTGGTCAGATAGCCAAAACCTGGAGAAAGGTTACAGAGAAGACGTGGGTAAATGTAAATGGGGCCTGTGTTCGGAATTTAAATCACATCGTCTCCCGGAGAAAGTCACAACCTTTGTTAGTCTCTAACTTGTGTTTACTTTGTGTGTGAGATAAGAAACACACTGCAGATAATCTCGCACTCACATTTGGACGTCAGAGTGTAGCCGCCCAGCGGTGGCGGGTGTCCCTCCACGGCGTCGAAGCCTGAAGAGACGAGCACGATGTCCGGAGCAAACTCATTGGCTATGGGCATCACCACTGATCTGTGGATGGGGGGGGTGGAGTGTAAGGTGAAAACTTAATGTCACTGCTCATTTGAAACTGTGTTTTTAATATTTGGGTTTCATGTGAGATTCGGTTTTGAATATTTGAAATAAACTGACTTTATAATACATTTTCAAATCTGGAAAAAAATCTGGTTTTACTAAACTATGACAAGTTCAAATTTGTCTGTTTTATTGACGCCATTCTGTACCTCCACATGTTACTACGGTTACCTGCCCTGACTGGCTTCACGCTCAGGCTCTGTATTAAAGCTGCTGTGTGTGTGTGTGTGTGTGTATGTGGTACCTGAAGGCAGCCAGGTACTCCACGTCTCCCATCGGAGGATCGAGGCCTCCAGTAAAGGCAACGTTAACGTTGAAGCCGACTCCCGGGCCGCTGCCCACCTGCAGAGAGAAAAACACCTGTGAGTCACGTTCATGAGCACCA